GTAATTGTTATATATGGGAGAGTTTGCGTAAAAAGAATCTGTTCACCGCCATTACTAGTAGTTGTCCAAACCAGAGAGTCTTAATACAAGAAACAAAGAGAGTCCACGTGTTGGCTTAGGAGAGGGCAGACTTGTGAATACTTTAATTGATTAAAAATTATTCATGTATATGAATAATTATGTCTTATTATGGGGAGAGGGATCATTACTTTTTTCAGATTCTCAATGAAGTATGCGACACACAAAAAGATGAAGAACCACTTCTTTACCAAGACTTAGACTCTAGCTATGCTTTTAAATTTTATTATAATTATGTTAGTAAAGTAACTTTCACCTCACTTATTCCTTTGTAGATAATTTAAGTTGATTTAAAACTATTTTTAAATAACCAATTTTACTAAAAGTTTGAATCAAAGAAAAAAAAATACATAACTGCTCCCAAGGTAGCAATCTATTCTTATTGCTGATGACCTGAGTGCCAGAACACATATACTTTTATTCATCGCTTCCAAGTATGGGAATGAAAAAAGCCAGAGAAGTTTGGATTCTGCATCCCAGTCTCCTACTGTGTTCCAGGAAATGGACAAGGTTCTCCATAAAAAGTTGTGTGAACCTCATTTATGTACATCATGACACAGTGATAATGAAATCTAAACTGTGCTAGCTGACTCCTGGCCTTGAATGCATCAGGCTTAATTTAATTCACCAGAATGGAATGGAGCAGACTCAATGTTTCCCTCACAGATTACACATAAACATTCATTTTAACCTCCTTAAACAAGACCGTTCCATTCCATTTTAAGATGATAGAATGAGCCCAGTTTAATACTAGCTATACAGACAGCTCAGACTGAATCCATATTATTTATTCAACTGATCTTTAAAGAGTTTACCTAATTAAAAACAGGCAAATGTGCTGGTTCTTTATTTTAAACTGTCTGGAACTGTAATATAAATTGTGAGATTACAGTATTTTCTATTAGAGAATTTCTGGTTATTTTTGTTAGCTTTATTTTATAATTTTGAACATGGACTCTCCAGTACTACTCTTCAACCTATTGTAGTGTTTGTGAAATAGGAGAAATGACCAGATTACCAAGTACACTGTGTTAATTATATAATATGTGCTGTATTAGCAAACACAAGGAATTATGGCATCACATTAAAGAGATAGTTAAGAATATAAGGGATAACATCTAGTGAACACACCCCCTGAGATTATTCTTACATGATTAGAAATGGATGATAAAGCATTTATTCTGGCATTATTAGGAATACGTGATAGGGCTTGTTAGAATAAATTTGAACAAGATAATATGTTAGAATAAATTTGAACAAGATAATAATTGGGTTAAATCACATTAAATGTGATTAAAGCCTGAGATATAAGTGGTAGGAAACAAAATTGAAGGGTTTGGCTAGGAAAAAATTATGAAAACCCTTGCAAACTAATGGGGATCTGTGATCATTAAAAATTTTAGATACAGGAACAAGAAATAGTAAAAAAAAATGAGAATCTCATCTTTCATACAAATTCATGTAGTCTTCTTTACTGAAGAGAAGAGGATCATGGCATCTATAGCTGAAAATGCCACCATTAACAAATTTATGAGCAATATGAAAGACAGCACTTGAGTAATCAAACAGTTAATTCATATTTCACACACAACTCGGGTAGGTTTTTCCACATTAACCAAGTGTCTCAAATATATACATATATATAAAATACACTTACTTATATCACCTCAGTTCCTTTAACATGTCCTCAAGTGAACTTTATTTCATGGAAGAGTACTGTTACAATGAAAGCCAAAGAGACTCTAGATGTTGCCCGGAGAAGAAGAGAATAGAAGATTAAAAAAATGTAAAGTCTTCACTAAGATAAAATTAGTGTCAGGATAATGAGTCCTACTTCAACCAAGCTAAAAACCCTAGCTGCAGCCTTCTCCGTTCTTTACCTTTCTGGAATATCAGGGAACTAAAATAATAAATTACATAAGCCACAGAAAAAAGTGTTGTCAGTTTTCTGGAGAAGTGAAGATCTCTGGATATAAGATTGGATAGGCATTTATTAGAAAAAAATTCCTCCAAGAAGCTGAAGCTAAGTCTATTATTAGACTTCTTAATATTAACATAAGTTTTATATGTTAAGGTGGTATGCATGACACTATAGTCAAGGTATACAAAAAGGACCTTTCTCTCTTTTTTTTTAATTGTACTTTGGATTCTGGGGTACATGTGCAGATAATGCAGGGTTGTTGCTTAGGTGCATACATGGCAATGTGGTTTGTTGCCTCCATCCCAGTCACCTATATCTGGCATTTCTCCCCATGTTATCCCTCCCCAACTTCCCCACCACTCCCACAGTCCCTCCCCAGCCTCCCCCAGCAGACCCAAGTGTCTGATGCTCCCATCCCTGTGCTCCTGTGTCCTCATTCTTCAACACCCGCCTATGAGTGAAAACATGCAGTGTTTGATTTTCTGTTCTTGTGTCAGTTTGCTGAGAATGATGGTTTCCAGGTTTATTGATGTCCCTACAAAGGACATGAACTCATTGGTTTTTTTTTCCATGGTGTATATGCGACACATTTTCCTTGTCCAGTCTATCATCAATGGGCATTTGGGTTGGTTCCAGGTCTTTGCTATTGTAAACAGTGCTGCAGTGAACATATGTGTGCATGTGTCTTTATAATAGAATGATTTATAATCCTTTGCATATATACCCAGTAATGGAATTGCTGGGTCAAATGAAATTTCTATTTCAGATCCTTGAAGAAGTGCCACACTGTCTTCCACAGGGTTGAACTAATTTACAATCCCACCAACAGTGTAAAAGTGTTCCTATTTCTCTACATTCTCTCTACCATCTCCAGATTTTTTAATTTCACCATTCTAACTGGCATGAGGTGGTATTTCAATGTGGTTTTGATTTGCATTCTCTAATAATCAGTGATGATGAACACTTTTTCATATGTTTGTTGGTTTCATATATGTCGTTTTTGAAAAGTGTCTGTTCATATCCTTCCCCCACTTTTGGATGGGTTTATTTTTTTCTTGTAGATCTGCTTTAGTTCTTCGTAGATTCCAAATATTAGCCCTTTGTCAGATGGGTAGATTACAAAAATTTTTTCCCATTCTGCTGGTTGCTGGTTCACTCTAATGATTGTTTCTTTTGCTGTACAGAAGCTCTGGAGTTTAAGTAGGTCCCATTTGCCTATTTTAGCTTTTGTTGCCAATGCTTTTGGTGTTTTAGTCATGAAGTCTTTGCCTATGCCTAAAGACATTTCTATTTATAAGAAGTGGAATCTACACTTGAATTACTGTATAATTGAATTACTGTGTAATTTACTGTGCAAAGAGAAAGTGTTGCTTTTTAGTAATGTATATCATTTGAATTATATACATATATATGATATAATTACATGTAATACTTTTTTAGTAATTCTATATGTATAATGTTATTCTAATTATATTATATACACATACTATAAAGTGTAATTTTATATAATGCTTTTTAGTAATTATGTGTATACATATATGTGTGGTATAGATATGTATTATATATATAATATATATACATATATACATAATTTATATATAAGATAAAATTATATACATAATTTATATAAGATATAAAATATTAGATATATAATATACAAAATATAAATTAGATATATATTTATATTATACAAAATCTATATAAATATAATTTATATATTATATATAATACATGTTATATATTTATATATTATATAATTTATATAAAATTTAAAATTTTATACAAAATATATCTATATAATACATAGATATATAATTATATATCCATATGTATATCTATATACAGATGCATATAATTATATATCTATATATAACACTAGTGAAATATATATTACAGATATATATAGAGATACATTTTTGGATATAATCTATACTATATAATATTATAATATATATATAATAGATTATATAATATAGATTAGACATATATTATATTATATATAATAGATTTTATTTATATATTTATATAATATATATTTTATTATATATTATATATTATATTATATATAATAGATTATATAATATAGATATATATATTATATACATAATTTTATTTATATATTTATATAATATATATTTAAAAATATAAATATAATTATATTTATAAATATAAATATAATTATATTAATATTATATATTTTATATATTATAAAATATATATTTATAAATATAAATATAATTATATTTATATTATATTTTATATATTATAAATATATATTATATATTTTAATATATAATATATATTATTATATATAAATATTATATATATTATATATTATATATAATAGATTATATAATATAGATTATATCCATATATAGATATAATCTGTATTATATAATAATCTATATTATATAATCTATTATATCTATATTATATATATAATATATATATTATATAATAATCTATATTATATAATTATATAATATAGATATAATCTATATATAGATATATAGACTATATATATATATCATATAGATAAAGATAGAATACATATTAGCTCATAAATTTAAACTAAAAGTTAAATTTAACAAGTTAAAATACTCACGCATGTATGTACTAGGATACCAACACAAGAATGCTCAAAATAGTCCCCAACTGTAAAGATCCCAAATGTCCATAAACAGTAGAATGAATAAATCTATACTGACATCACTCTCTTCTTTGGCTGATATAGTTTGTTATTTCAATAGTGGTTCCCTGATGTTCCTGAAAGGTAAAGAACTGAGAAGGCTGCAGCTAGGGTTTTAGCTTGGGTGAAATAGGACACGTTAGCCTGACACTAATTTCATCTTAGTGAAGACTTTACATAATTTCCTTAATCTTCTTTTCCTAGAATTATATATAGACATATAATTGTGTATCTATTTTTTTACACTGCATTTTTGTCCTTTTTCTACAAACAATAAAAAGAGTCACAGACTGACGTGGAAAATTGGGCACATTTTAATTGGAAGGTACAAACACATGATAAATGGATTCTTCCTCTGTGAATTCTAGAGAACACTTTGAGTCAGTACTGCTAAACTCCCCCAGTTTGCCTTATTAGGAGTAGAGTTGACACATCATTATGTAATCATTGTCTCATGCTCCTGTCCACAAATATCACAATTGCACAGACTCCTGATGCTTGCAATTGCTTAATTTGGTGGGAAAACAGTGCCATTCATCATCTTTTATTTTTGCATCGTTCTATTGGTTCCAGTCACTGAGAAAAGTAAACAAGAAATATAGTCACCATCAGCCTAAGAAGCCTCAAATATAATGCCATAAACAGATAAATGGATTTCGGCAGAACGTAATCAGCTGGTAAAAAGAACAAAATAGACACTACCTTAACATTAATTTACAAACGTTCTTTTTCCCTTTCATTATGTATTATCTTTGCATGTCGTGTGTATGTTTGTCTGTGTATATGTGCACCAACTCCTAGCAAAAATTTCTGCTTTTGGGATATTGCCGAAGTAAAGTATGTTTAATTGTTGTATTTATTGTTATGTATTTCTCACCAAGATGATTACATTATTGGATGGCTACTATTTATAATCAATCTAACATCCATACCTTCTACCAAAAAGCCAATCGTGATAAAATACTGAGGACAACTTTCCAAAGTTTTGGTTAGGGTATAGAATTAGGTAATCCCTAGCAATCAACAAGAAGAAAAGGTGATCTGTTTTTGAATTATATAGGAGAGAACACATAAATAAATGGTTATCATGTGAAGATTATTTGATCCTAAAGCCAATACGTTGGGTGTTTCTTCAAAAACCATTTTCTACTGAAAACAAACAACAGTCATATAAATATACACAAGCTTGGCAGTCATTTGCCTCTTTGAAATCAAGAATCTTTAAATATTTTTACTCTTTGACCAAGAATTCCAGGAAGTGAATGTTTGTAGAAATAACTTTATGTGGGGAAAAATATATATTCCCAGAGGTATTCATTAGAGTGCAATTTGTAATGGAAAGAAATTTGGAATAACCAAGAAGCCCTAAAAGAGTAGCAATTTTGTACATTTTGCTACAAACTAAAATATCATATTAAAATTGCAAATTATTTTATAATAATAGTTTAAAGGAATACATATTAGCTCATGAATTCAAATTAAAAGTTAAATTTAACTAGTTAAAAAACTCAACCACATATGTACCAAGATACCAACACAAGAATGCTCAAAATAGTTTCCAACTGAAAATATCCTAAATGTCCATAAACAGTAGAATGAATAAATAAATTGTGGAATATAGAGACAAGAGAATCCTATTAAAAAATAAATTATGTGCAAATGAACAAAACAGATGAAGCCTATTAATATCATATTGGGCAAAAGATGTCACAAAATACATGTAGTAAGATTCAAGAATATAAAGTTAAACAACAAATAATGTTACTTACAGAAGCATGCATAAGCAGTACAAGTCCAGATTAATAAATAAAAGGAAGGATATGATTATTACAAGGTCAAGATAGTGATTACCTCCAAGGAAGAACAAAAGGGATATAATCAAGAAAGTACAGACAGATCACATACAGGCTTCTAGAATGCACACAGTGTCCTATTTATTGACCTGGATGGTGGTTGTAGAGGTAATTCTCTTTAAGTTAATAATTACCTGAGCTGGGACTTGAAGAATAGATAGAATTAACACAGTAATGATGGGATGGAAGGAATTTCCAAAATTGAAACAGTATGACTAAAGGAAAATGTATTTTTCCATTCTCATGCTGCTATAAAGAACCACCTGAAACTGGGTAATTTATAAAGAAAAGAGGATTAATTGACTCAGTTTCGCAGGGCTGTAGAGGCCTCAGGAAACTTACAATCATGGCAGAAGGGGAAGCAAACACATCCTTCCTCACATGGTGGCAGGAAGGAGACGAATTATAAGCCCAGAGAAGGGGAAAGCCCCTTATAAAACCATCTCATGAAAATTTACTCATTCTGAGAATAGCATGAAAGAAACCACCCCCATGACTGCATTACCTCCTATTAGGTCCCTCCCACCACATGTGGGAATTATGAGAACTGTTATTCAAGATGAGATTTGGGTGAGGACTCAGCAAAACCATATCAGGAAATATGTAGGAAAACATAATAGACAAGTTTGGCTGTGTCAATGAGTATACAAAGAATAAAGGGAAATTAAACTGAAACAGGACTGCATAAAAAATTCCTGCACATGAAGCAAATGTGTTATAACAGGAGTTATGTAATGGTATTATAAATAATTCATTGACCTGAACTACTCCTTTTCTTCTGATTTTTCTATATTCCCCTGATACCTCATTATCATACACTGAACCACTGAGACATGGAACAGGCAAGGTTGTAACGGCCTTGGCAATCCTTTCCTTCTGAGTCTGACAGGAGTTTAACATACCTACTTTCCAACACCATGAAGTTTTAAATCCACAAACTCCTATTTGTCCTGGTCTCTAAGATTGAAATACTGTTTTGGTTCCTACATGCTATTATTTTTTGTTTAATTCCTATTCTAGAGGAAACACTAATGTGGTTGAGCCTTTCAAGTCACAACTACATAAATTCAGATTCCCTCCCTCCATGTTTCATCTGCCTAATGGGAACATCATTTCCACACCTGGAATTCAGTGTGGAATAAGTTTGCCTTTGGCTAGTATACATGCCTGTCTCCATGATAGCCTCTGCTATCTAGGTCTGCTCTCCGGTTAATGTGTGCCTAGTGCCTCCTCCTCCATAAGCCTGGCTGTTAGAAGTGTAGACAAGTTCCATGATTCATTGGGTCTCCATTTTCACCTTTCAGAATAACAATGATATGCGTTCAACAAATAGCAACAAGAATGAAAATCAACTGCTACATATGTAAAGAAATGGAAACCATTGTATCAGCTTGCTATTTTATGTTAAAACCATTTACATCATTATTTCTAGAAGTAATGGGAAAGCAATAAATGTAAATTGCAATTATCAAGAGTAATATTTTAAAACCCAGAAGTCTACTTTTCACAAGAAATGAAATCCCACTTGCCTAAATATATAATACAAATTGTCTTTGAAATGTACTCTTGCAGTATAACTCTTCGATAAGAAATAAGAAAAATTCAACAGATTTCTAATGACCTTATACTTTTTTCTGTTCACAAGGGGAGATAACTCATAGACAGCATTTTGTTTTCCCTTAAGAATGAAGAGCACTTTGCTTTTGTATATTTTTTTAAAATAATACTTGATCAGTAAAACAATAATAAAAGAGGGTGGTGCAAAGCAATTAAAATAGCTTTGGTTATAAATTCTTCCTTTAGAGACTATGATTTATAATGATACATCTGTTTTCACAAATAGTGATTATAATAACATTGCATTACTGAATTTTTTTCTATGTAAATATTTGTTCCAACATAATTTATCCTGAGTTACTCCCATTGAAGCAGTTCTCATAGTGTGCCTGAGAAACCAGTTTTTTTTTAATGTCTTCTGTTCTCTAGTTTCTGGACTGTTGCATGAGCCAGTGTGTGAATCAAGGGATTTGTCAACTCTCAATTATTGTCCATCATGTATTGCATATTATTAAAGTACAATTTTTCCCTCAGGCCATTTTCTGTGTAAAATTGTAAATCAATTCCAGTTTTTGAATGGGCATATAAAAGAAAGTCTATCTTTATTTACTTATGTGTTACTATTAGTCAAGGCTCTTTGACAGCAAATAATTGGCAGTTACTCAAGCTAGATCAAGCAGGAAAAAAAAGAAAGAAATTTTGGAGTCCTCTGAGAAAGACAGAAAAACCATCAGGATCCTTAGTGTTATTCTCTCAACGTTCTTACTGTCTCTAAACCTCTCGGTGAAGATTGGCTTTCTCTGTTTAAGTCCACATAAAAAAATATGGTTGTCCCATGCTTCCGAGTTCTTAAGTTCCAAACACACATAAAATTCGGTTTACTGTTTCTCAGTCTCTATTGTCATTTTTTCTTTTTTCTTTTTTAAAGAAAGGAGTTGCTTTAATCCCATCCTAGTGTTCAGGGGTCAAACCAAACATGGCAGCTGAAAGGGGTGAGAGATGGTTCTATGATACATCTGGAGCCCTTAAGTGTGTCCACTGCGATCTATCTCATCCAAAACTAGCATTCTTGTTTCTTGAAACGCATGTCTGCACTCTTATCACTACATCCTTCTTCAATCTGATTTGAGGCCTAAAGCCTGAGAAGAAGGCCTATGAATCTACAAAGATATATTTTGTAGTAATTAGTACCTTTAAAAGGAAACAGAAAAGACTTGCTGATCTACTTTGATTCAATTTCCTCAGGTAACTTGTACATGTACAATGGGTAGCTGCTTCACAATTCAAGACTGCTGCTCCAATTTTCATACACAGTCTTACTAAGCAGGTAGACCATTTGAAGCAAATGCAGGAATATGTGTTATGAGGAGGGAGCTGTGTGGGTATTAGGATAAAACAATGTGTAATTCAATCCTCTTATTAATGAGCCATTTCTCCTTCAGGCAAATTATTTCACTAACATAAGATAATGAAGGGCTTCAGTGAGGCCTTTTTGACAAACTGGACATGTTGTTGGACAGGTGCCACTGTCTTGGAAATAACACAAAACTTTTTCAGCAGAACTTTCTCACAAAGCAATGTAGGGAGAGAACACACAATCCCATCACTCCCAGATTATCTGATGTGAAACTTCAGAGGCCTTCCTTATGGGATGAAAGGGACAAGAAGGCATTAGGGTAGTAAAGGAAACTAAGACTTTCAGAGAAGAACAAAACAAATGAATGTAATTGATGATAAAATATATTAACAAGACATACACTACAGAAAATGGAAAAATTTTGTATAAAATTCTATAGCTCAGAAGCAGTAAGTTTGGAAAGATGAAGTGATGTAATCAGAATAGCAAAGTACTTCTGGAAAAGCTCAACTTTATATGTATTAAAAAACTGGCACATATTTAACAAACAAAACATATTTGATGGGATTAAAATTCTTATGTCACAAGGGCAAAAGAATGAATTTTAGAAAATCATCTTTTCTTCAAAGAATTACAAAATTACAACGAAACATCCATCAGCGAAGTATTCATTTGTAATATCATTTGGAAAATGGGTAATTGACGGCAGTATGACAAACTGAAAGTCACACATCTCTGTGGAATTTTACCAGTGAGGGGGAAATATTATAGAACTATAATACTTTTTAAAAGAGAAAAGAAAAGGGAGAGAGAAAAGGAGCTGAGGAAAGCAAAAAAGGAAGAAAAAGAGGGAAAGGGGGAGAGAAGAAAGGAGGGAGAGAGGGAAAAAAGAAAAAAAAAAGAAGCAATGTTGAGAATCTTGTATTATTGCTTTGAGAAGTCCCACAACCAATATCAATTTGGCAGATTCTCCCTTTACTCTGTCCCATTTTATAAGATTTCATGGCTTTGATTACATTAGGGACAGAAGTGCAATAAAAGAGCAGTGTGTGTTTCTAAAAACACAGACTCCAGTTATTCCTGTGAGACCACTGTCGGGATTTTGGAATAGAGATCATGACTACTTTATGAAAATTATTCACTAAGGAGAGTCCTTTTGTTGCTTTGGTTATGATATGCAGCATTTACATTGTACCAAACATATCAAGGTGCTAAACCACAAAATGAGCAGAGCATAATATGTGCTTTGTCCGTAGTGCAGGCTCAAATAGCATATCTAATTCAGATTAAAATTTACCTGTGGCTTTCATCCTAAAATTCCATCGACTCTAATCATAGGTGTATAAGATGCTGATGTGTCAGCCCATAGGATTTTCATCAAACGTAATGTTAGAATATCTTAATGTCCAGAATAAGGAAGCCACTTCCCTCTCCCATTAAAGCCTCACTCCAGGACAATTTAGAGAATGGACCCAGCTACACCCTGCACAGAGAACTACTTCTCAGTGGAATGATGGTAAAATGAGAGGTTTGGAAAAAGACATTTTATCTTTCTCCTATGCGGTGTTATTATTGCTGGGAAGCGACTTTGGAGCCAATCTTCTCTAACTCTGAAAAACATTCTGCCACAAAAACTGCATTATCTTCCTACCTGACCTGAAGTTTTTTAGACCAGATTTCCTGTTCTAGAACTATATTACTACTCCATTTACAAACTAACTCCCAATTTTCGTCGTATGAAAATTATTTTGCGTATGGAAAATGGTTTCTGAAAGACCATTGGTGTTTGTGGCAACTGGTTTCTGTACTGGATTGGGAGTTCTTTGTGAGTGGGGGCTGTGTCTTGTGTTACTCTATCTTCAGCTCCTAGCACAACACTTGGAACAGAGTAAGAGCTCAACTAGTAATGGAGGAACAAGTGAACTACAGATGAAGCATCATACAAAAAGAGGAGACCCTCTATTGCTCTCCCATTAGACAGTGACACCACATAGGAAGATAAAATTCAGTTTGCACTGTTTTTAGTATCTATTTCAGCTACAGACTAAGATCACAAAAAGATAGCACACATACAATGATAACTGATACCAAAATCTCAAGAGTAAAATCTGGGTTAAAGATGAAGGAAGGATTGACAAGACATTCAAAACTAAGCTTGATTGTTGTGACAATAGAGTAATAATGAAAGAGGAGTAACTTAACTGCTAACAATTGGGAAACGTTTCAGTGGATCTGAGCTCATCGATGAAATAAAATAGTATACATCCACGGGAAATGTTAGTTTTAAAGAGTCTTTAAAGGCAAAGATGTATCAAATACCTCATGGAACACTGCAGATGCTATTGACCTATTAACCTTGCCCTTTGGTTGTCCTAGCTGTGCTGCTGACTGAGTCACATAAGCCCAAGCTGACAGAGCCAATACAGAGCTTCTTTCTTCTGCCCTAGGCTTCACTGTTGACACTGAGGTGTGGCTCATCACTCACACACATACAGAGGAGTTAATAACCTGCACTGCAAACTACAGACCTGTGGGAAAGAGTAGCTGGTGAATAAATTATTTCCTTTTTTCCCCCATGATTGACGATCCTATGATAAAGATCATAAGCCTTCTTAAAGAATGTTTTCCCTGAGACTGAGCTCTCAGTTGTGCTTAACAGCAGTTAAATTGATAATATTTATATTGGTTTTCCCTCCTTCCCTATTTCACTCACCCTTTTTCTTATCCCTTATTAAAATTATGCTTTGAAGAAAATACAATGTTATGAAAATTTATAAATTAGAAGTCTAACCTAGTATGAAGGAGAGGATTCAGAGCCTTGCTGAAGAAATAGCACTTAAGACTTGCATAAATAGGGGTTAGGCATGTAGGGGGTAAAAGATCTTAAAGAAACATGTTAGACATATAGGTACTATATAGTGCTATGGAAAATTACATGAGATCTAAAGTGCTCAAAACAGAGAATTTTGTTTATTTTTCTTTGTTCTCCACTGTGCCCTACCATCTAAGGCAGTGCTGGCCACACAGTAGCTCAATAAGTATTTACCGGATGAATGAATTAATTAATCAATCATATGTTCTAGGATAGCACTAAAGTTTGAAAAACCGTAAACCAAAGGGTTCATGATAGAAGCAACCCTACAAGAAGTAAACAGATTGTGGGAAATAAGCAGAAGCGAAAATAAATTCAGAAAATTGTGTAGAAGGCATCACTAATCAAGGTCTGAATCAGCTTGAATCATTCCTGTTTGGATTCTCAATCTGAGTCCAGCAGGACAGCAATCCTGAGGCCATGCGTAAAGGAAGTCCACAGTATAAAGCACAGTCCTACACATGTGCTATGCAACACTAAGTAATGAGAAAGTTCTTTATAGAAACCAGCTCACCCTTAGTAATTCCATCTACCCTTGAGTCAACTTCATCATGCGTTGCTTATGAGTAGTTAAGACTTAGATAGAAATGCTTCTCCTAAATTTTTTTTTCCATCTAAGATAGGCTGACCACTGATCAAGACAAGGGTTTTTATTGCCCAATTCTTAAATCAGTTTACTGGATTGTTTGACTTGGCCAGAAATATAAAGCTTAACACAGACTCACTGTGGTGTGTGATTCAGGACTTGCCTCCCTTTTCTTTTCTGTGATTCCATTGTCTCTACCACAGAGTTGCCACACCCAAAGAGTCAATTTCCTGCAAAAAGAAAGACAAAGAAAATTGGAAACCTACTTAAATTATTGTTTGCTTTTTAAGACTTTATAATCACCTAAAAGAACTTCCTCTTTTCACTGGCTAATCTTTCTGTCTCTGCATGAACACAGAATAATTGAAAATATTTTTAAATTAGTATTCTTTGCCTTTCACATGTAATAAATCACAAAAACAGTAGGATCTATTTAAAAATCACAATGGCTTTTAAACATTTCCTTAATAAATCCCATTATGTGTATAACAAACAGAGCAAGAGCTCCTAAAGGCAAGAATTATGTCTTATACAGTTTTTAACTATTTTAAATCCATTTTAATATGCCTAGTACACATTTATTTCCTATTTACAGCCCATTTGCTCATTCAACTATTATTAAAATATATTTTTATTTACCATTTATTTTGTACCAGACATTGAACAACCACATTCACATTACTATTATCTCATTGTTTAAATAAGCCCATACATATAAAGTTTTAACAACAGTGCTGGACACAGAGTAAGCACTGAATAAATGTTGGCTTTTGTTTTCTCATTTAATCTTGACACATCTAATAGTATCTGACAAGGTAGGTCTTATTGTCCCATACCACACATGAGGACACAGTGATTGGTGAGGTAAAGTATAAGGTGACTTGCCCACAGTGACCCAGGTTCATATCCTCTCATGCAACCACTTCTCATCATACATGATTTTAGAATATTCTTGGAATGAATTCTGTGACTTATCAAAATATATATGAACTGAAAATACAAAAACCTGAACCTAGTTCAGAAGTATGGCATATTGTAGAGTCCATGTGGATGGAAGACTATTGATCCTTTTTATGTGGAAAAGTGAAGGAGAGCAGCAGAGTAAGGAACATGGGATGCAGAGACTGCTGGGAAAGCAAAGGAGAATCCAGCCTTTTGTGGATTCTCACAGGACAAACCATCTGAAAGGGCTTATTCCTCCAGTGCTGGATCTGTACAAGAAGCTGTATTGGCACTGGGCAATCAGGCAACAGCAAGTAAGTCAGAAGCTATAACTATGCTCATGGAGCTAGCTAACAGACTAATAGCAAAACATATCCAAGACAAACAGATACATTAACTACAAACTATGATAAAAACTCTGAAGAAAGCAAACAGGATTCTGGGACAGAGATTTCGTTACAACTTTAGCTATTCAGGAAGCAATCTTTGCAGTTTTCCTATTTTCAAATTAACCATTAAAATATAATCAATGCTACTCACAGCCACTAAACATACATCATAATAAGTGAAGACTGTCCCTTCAGTTCATAAATATTTAAAATTATTATTTAAAAAATTCATTAATTGTGGCTGGGCACAGTGGCTCACACCTGTAATCCCAACACTTTGGGAGGCTGAGGTGGATAGATCACTTGAAATCAGGAGTTAGAGACCAGCCTGGCCAACACGGTGAAACCCCGTCTCCACTAAAAATATAAAAATTAGCTGGATGTGGTGGTGCACACCTGTAATCCCAGCTACTCAAGAGGCTGCGGCAGGAGAATCACTTGAACCCAGGAGACACAGTTTGCAGTGAGCCAGATATCATGCCATTTGCACTCCAGCCTGGATGTCAGAGTGAGACTCCATCTCAAATAAATAATAAAAATAAAAATCCATTAATAAAATCCATCTTGTTGAATGATTAAAAACCAAAAGCCATATAGTCTTAATGGAGTCAGAAAAAAAAAATCCAGAAAATGTGACATCTCTATATGACAAAAACTCAACAATATTTTAACAAGTTCTCTTAACCTAATGATATTCACAGAAATACCTAAAATAGTAATCCTCCCACTTTACGTAGCATGAGAAACAGCTGGAGGGTTTATTGAAACACTGATTGCTGGGACCCTCCTCTTTTCCCCGACTCTCTAATTCAGTAGGTCTGGGTGAGGCTCAAGAATGTCCATTACTAACAACTTCCCAGATGATATTGATAGTGCTGGTACAGAGCAATTCTTTGAGAACTATTGACCCATACTCTTAATTGTAAAATGATGGAAGTATTTACATTGAGGTCAGGATCAAAATAAGAATTCCCACTTCTATTTTGTCACTCCTAGACCCTATATCAATGAAGATAAATGTCAGAATGTTTAATATAGTAGTCATAGCAATAGTAAACATAATGAAATAATTTCTTTTCATCAATAGAGGTATGGATAAGTTGTGGAAAAATTATATCATGAACAATATACAACTATGCATTAAACATCCCTACTAACATAAATATATGGTGCTAGGTAGAAAATGTAAACTGCAAAATGAGGACATTTATGAAGGTTTGAAAACCTACAAATTAAGGCAACACAAGAAAATACAATACATTTAAGGTAACAAAGCTATGGCAATCAGGACGAGAAGGATATCCATTAACTTCCAAATAGTAGTTCCATTTAGGAAATGAGAGGGCCCATCTGAAATCCCAGTACATCTCCTTATATGGTTTTCATTGATCAACCAGTTCACTATGAATGCATATCAGTGAAGGCTATAGTCATGCAAATAAATAATTTTTTCCCTCTTTACTGATGATGGTGATTTGACAAACTTTTTAAAAGATTTCAACTCTTTTCTCTTAAAAGAGAAAATTTTCTTCAGGAAAATGTGATGAAGCAGAGGCCTGCCATAACCACTAATGTTGGCAAGTTGCCTTGATTGAAATTGTTACCATATTGTGATAAATTTCTGGTAGTTGTGTTCATCAAATTGCAAAAAAAAAATGTTATTCCCTTAAAGGAAATATTTGGTTTCACCAGGCTGTAAACCTGTATTAGTTATTCTAAGTAACTGGTTCAAACTGAAACCTGGTACCTGGTTCATAATCATCAACTGCAGATAAATCAGTTTGAGTCACCATCATTTGGCTGTCCTCTGTAAGAGACACTGTTAATATTAAAATACTCAATAGCACCTGCTTAACATGTTTTCCTTCATACAAGATTTCCAGTTTCTTTGTAAGTTTGCCAAGTGTTTTCAAATGAGTCCCCTGGGAAAATGACCTATCAGTAATTTTTTTTCTCCATTTTCTCAGGCTGATAGGCGAGCAGCTCTTTGATCATGCTGAGGGTTGCACTTCTTAGCTTTCTAAGAACAGAGAAACCTTATGCTTGTGCAGCTAGGCAGAGCTTTGTGCCAGCCCTAGATATTTTTATGTCTTACATAAAGCTAAAAGCTATACCCATGGTCTACAGTGTGGAGGAATAGAGAGTGTCTCAATGTTTTCGCTAAAATTATGCTAAGCTCTTTTCAATTTTATCTTTTGAAATGCCAGTAATTTGCTCTTTTTCATTATTTGTCCTCAACTAAACCCTCTGCGGTTCCCACCCAATCCTCCTCCCACACCCTATCCCAAACTTATGCAGAGAATCATTATCGTTCTTTCACAGAGAAATATTCTGTTTCCATTATCTGTAGTCATATCTGATAGCATATGAGTAATTATTTTCAATAAACTAAAATAAAAGCAATATTTCTTTTTCTTTCTATCCTGAAGTAGTGGGAGGAAAAATACTCATGCCCTAAAAGAGTGGAAAGCATTAGAGGAATGGGTTTCACATCAGGAAATCTAGGGAGGAAAAACCTCTTCCTCTGGGACGGTGTTAGGTTTCTTTTTCCAGAGAGGGCAAAAGTTCCACTAATTAAGATGAAAGCAAAACCCGGATGCCTGTAACAGCAGTATAAAGTTTATGTATTTTTCTCCTAGGCCAAAAAAGAAATCTGCCAAATTTACTCTAACCTTTATTTGGTCAGATTTAATTTTCTGATTGAATTTCCCTCTCTTTTCAGTATCTTTGCATTTAGAAATAAAGCACATTCAATTTCTAAAAAAATGTTTGTTTAATCGTTTGACTCTGGTCCTTCATAACATCATTGTGAATTGGTTTCCCCACCTGTGAAGTGGGGCTGTTTGTACCATGGAGACTAATTACAAAGCTCATCTGCTGGGAGGACAACAGTTGGTGTAGGAGTTCTAGGAGATAACTGAACTATGATCATCAGGATGAAAGGACAGTGGACTCAGTGGGATTTGGGAAAAGCAAGCATACTCACAAAAGCATTTTTATTTCTTAAAAAAATTATTAACAATGTGTCAGACAAACAACACGTCTTTGACAGTGCCCGAATAATAGTTTGCAGCCCTATAGTAATAAAAGAATGAGCTCTGGTTTGAGACCACCTGAAAGCTGAAAATTAATTCAAAGTACAGGCTTGACCTGGTTGGTATTCAAGCAATTTAGGGAAGTTGGTTACATTCTTTAAGTCTCTAGTTCCCCAGTTGATAACATTGTACCATAATGTTTCTAAATTGAGGTATAATTATAATAATAGTAATTCCCCCCTATGGTGCTTGTAAAATGAACAATATCATGCACACGAATATGCTTTACACAGCATTTGGCATATCCTACTTCCTCCTCTATAAATGTTATTTGTTATCTCATGAGAATGTTTTTGTACATAACAATGTCCTATACACATTTAAAGAGGGTTTGGTTTGTTTTACTATCTTTAGCTGCATAATATTTAAATAATAAATTACAAATAGCAAATCAAATAAAAAGTTTAGATAAGTCAGTCACTTCCAGAGTGGAGTTGGAGAGACAATATTTTAACTGATAATAATTTTACATGTGGATAAATGTTGATTGCATTATCAAATGAAATATATCCTTGTGAGATATGTTCTTTTAAATTTTATCAATGGAAAAGTATTCTATTATGCCACAAATAATCTCCAAATTATAATAGAAATATTCATGTAGATTCACATGAATTAACTTGTATTAAATATGAAAAATGCAGTATTAATATTGGCTATCTGTACATTTTCATATTGTGTGTTTTACGATTTTTAAATTTTCTTTTGTATTTTTGAACTTGGGTTTCATTCTGTTGCCCAGGCTGCAGTGCAGTGGTGCCATCATGGCTTACTGCAGCCTTACATCCCTGAGACCACAAGCCT